CTCCCCCTTATCTGACCTCTCAGCCGCTGCCCCGGGAGCGGCCGGCAGGCTGGGGCCGCGCGATGTCGCACGGAGCCGGGCTCGTCCGCACCACGTGCAGCAGCAGCAGCAACGCGCCCGGACCCTGGGCCGGCACGGGGCAGTCCAGCGCGAGCCCCTCGGAGGGGATGCTGGACCCCGACTACCCCTGCACCCGCACGGCCCTGCTGAAAGTGGCGCAGATGGTAAGAGAGGGCCGGGGTCGGGGTCACACAGCGTCACCCAGGAAGGAAGGGGCCCCGGGAGAGGACGCGCCAGGCGGCTGGACCCGGCGGAGCCCCCCGGAGCCTCGCGCCGCGGGCGGGGCGGGAGACCGCGCCCCCAAAGTCAATTTTGAGAAAGGCTTCCTCCCGGAAAAGTTGCAATTTCAGCCCCGGCTCTGGCGCTCAGCTCACCCCCGGCCCTTTCTCTCCCAAATTCAACCCCGTTCTGGAGCTCAACCCCACCCTCGCCCTTGCACCCCCAAATCCAGGTCCCTCGGGCTCCTAAGTGTCTCTCGCCACCCCTCTGCGGGGCCTGGCCCACCAACTGACAGAAACCCCCGGCAAAAGTTCACTTGCGTCTTCCTTCCTCTGCTCTGAGCGCCGCCGCTTCGAACCGGAGCCGCGGGTGGGCGCGGAAGAGTGGCCCGGGCGGCGGCGCGGAGGCGGCAAACCGACCTCCTCCGCGGTCCTCCCAGCCGAGCGCTGCAGGGCGTCCTCGCTCTGGGCGCAGTTTCGCCGCAGGGACGGAATCTGAGGGTTCCCGGTTCCATGGCGGGGACAGGAAGTGGGACCTCTGGGGCAGCTGTCCTGGTATCCGCGCTCTCAAGTTTCAAGGGAGGGCCCAGGCCAGGGGGCGTGTTTTGTTCCTGGAGGGCAGATGGTCAATGGGAGAAGGCCTAATCTGAGGGGCTGGTACTTATTTTGGGGAGCCTGAATGGGGGTCACCTGTGCAGCCAGGCAGGGAAGGTCTGGGCTCTTGAGTGTGACGAGCCAGGCAGAGGCCTTCCACTAGGGCTCCCGCCGACGGCCTGTTCCGGCAGTTCCCTACTCTTCCCTTTTCTCCCTTTCCATTTGTTTCTTCTTTAAAAATGTTTCATCTTAGACATCTTTTCAGTTTGGATGAAGTGTCGTGAAAATGGGTTGGGCTGTTTTGTAACTATCCATTCTTTGTAAAGTTTGCAACAAGCATCGTGGAGGGGAGAGTGTAGTTTGGGGAAAGGGGCTTGGGGAAAGGAAGTGGGGGTGGACACAAGGTCCCAGACTCAGAACCAGGGGCCTGCTAAGGTGCACTAGCCCCCAGGGGGCTGGACACAGGATCAGAGCTGCCCAGCCATGTATAGCACTGTTGCTCCACGTGCTGGGTGTGGGTCAAGATTGCTATCACTTACTGCTTGGGACAGAAGACAAGGAGGGACGTCTCTAAGAAGGCAATCTGGTTATTGTTCGCTGCATGACGACCCATGTACAACAGAATGAAACGTTGCCATCTTCATGATTGTTGGTACGCCCGAGTACATTGTTGTGGCTGCTGTGTATTTTGAGCGCCTTCCCACCTAGGGGGCTCATCTTCCAGCACTCTATCGGACGGTATTCCAGTCGTGATCTGTAGAATTTTCAGAAGTAGATCATCAGGCCTGTCTTCCTAGTCTGAGTCTGGATGCTCAACTGAAACCTGTCCACCATGGGTGACCCTGCTGGTATTGGAAATACCGGTGATGTAGCTTCCAGCATCATAGCAACATGCAAGCCACCACAATATGACAGACTGACAGATGGGTGGTAGAAGGGTGTCTAGATAGACCAAAAATTGGGAAGTAGAGGCACTTTAGTAACTTAAATTAAAAAAAAAGAAAAAAGTAGTGCTGAGCAGTGTTGGGTTTGAGCAGGACATTTTTTGACCCAGGCAAGGAGATTTGAACAGCCAAATAAAAAGATGGGCTGGGGTGAGACAGGCCTTACCTGAGCATTGGAAGACACATCACATGATCTAAGAATCAGTTTAGTGGACAGAGGTAATGGGGATGAGAAGCCTCCATCTTGGCCTTCAGTTTGGTGGACTAAGGACATAGGGGTGGGAAATCTCCATGTTGGTCCATGAGTTTGGTGGACAAAAGTGGAGAAAAGAAACCCCCACCTATCATTTTAAACTCCTCAGCTAGCCCTGTGGCCCTTGTACCAGGTTGTGGGTGGCAATGCTGGGGTCTGTTGTTCAAGAGAGGAGATTATACGCTTGGAGAAGTACTTTGTCTGGCTTCTTCTCCTGCATGCCCCACTTGAGGCCGTACCCACGCAATTCTTATACCTTCCTCCTTCTCTGGGGGACTCCCTGCAGCTGCAGGCTGGTTTGAGCAGATGCCCTGGGGGGGGGATGGAGTTGCCCTTGTAGGGTGGTCATTACAGCAGACAGACTACTTAGGGCTGCCCACTTGGGCGTCTGCCTCCTCGCCACTCTCCTCCTTCTTCTTTTCTGGGCTGCCTGCTTGGATACTTGATGTGCACTTCTCCTCTTTGCTGGAAAGCACGTGGCCAAGTTCTAGTGTTGGGGAAGGGCTGTTGTTGATCTTAGGTGCTGCCAAGTTGATTTTAACTCATAGCGACCCTGTGTGACAGAGTATAACTGCCCCATAGGGTTTTCTACTCTTCATTCTTTATGGGAGCAGATCACCAAGTCTTCCCGTGGACCAGCTGGGTGAGTTCAAATTGCCAGTCTTTTGGTTAGCAGCCAAATGCTTAACCGTTGTGCTACCAGCGCTCCTTTGTGGAAGGGCAGAAGCAGCTAAAAAGTTTCCATTTGGGTGCTCTGTTGATGGGTCTGTCATTTTGACCATTGATGTCTCAATCACATACTGAACCAAAAAAACAAAAAAAACTGTTGCCATCGAGTCGATTCAGACTCACAGTGATCCTAGCTGACCCTTTTGTCCTTGACTTCTCATAATGAGTTTTCATCATGGTCTGATAAACAGACCTGTCAATATATTGCCTGAAGAAATTATTGAAAAGGCTATTTGTTCAGAGAAGAGCTGTTATAGATTGAATTATATCCCCCCAAAATTGTGTCAACTTGGCTAGGCCATGATTCCCAGTATTGTGTGATTGTCCACCATTTTGTCATCTGATGTGATTATCCTATGTGTTGTAAATCCTAACCTCTATGATGTTAATGAGGCAAAAGTAGAGGCTGTTATGTTAGTGAGGCAGGACAATCTACAGGATTAGGTTGTATCTTGAGTCAATCATTTTGAGATATAAAAGAGAGAAGCAAGCAGAAAAGAGAAGCACCTCATTACCATGAAGAAAAAAGAGCCAGGATCAGAGCATGTCCTTTGGACCTGGGGTCCCTGTGCTGAGAAGCTCCTAGACCAGGGGGAGATTGATGACAAGGACCTTCCTTCCCCCAGAGCCGACAGAGAGAGAAAGCCTTCCCGTGGAGCTGGTGCCCTTAATTCGGACTTCTAGCCTTCTAGACTGTGAGACAATAAATTTCTCTTTGTTAAAGCCATCCACTTGTGGTATTTCTGTTAAAGCAGCACTAGCTAACTAAGGGAGCCCTGGTGGCTCAGTGGTTAAGAGCTCAGGCTGCTAACCAAAAGAAGGTCAGCAGTTCAAATCCACCAGCTGCTCCTTGGAAGCCCTATGGGGCAGCTCTATTCTGTCATGTAGGGTCGCTATGAGTTGGAATCAACTTGACAGCAATGAGTTTTGTAGATAACTAAGACTGCTTCCCTTGCTTTGGGTCTCTTCCTGGGTCCGCCACTACTAGAAAATGAAAAAGTGAGAAACCAGGAAGAAAGTGAGTTTTTGAGTGAATCGTAGTCATTGACATATCGTTTTAATGAATCCTTATAATTTCGTTGAGACCGTGGTGTAGTCTCTTTGGTCATCGTCATTAGACAAGAGAAATAGTCACATTTCTTGGCCTTAAGGAACAGCTTTTTTTTTTTTTCTTAGTAGCTACATTTTTTTGAGCCCCGCTATTGTTCTTGACAATATGCTGAAAACTATATACAGTATACCATGTATGTGTCATCTCATGAAATATTGTTAAGAATCCAGTGAAGTAACGTGTTTGACAGAGGAGGAGATTGGCTGAGAAAAGGTTAAGGAGCTTACTGAGGTCACACAGCTGTCAGCAGCTGAGGCAAGGCTCAACCCAGGCCTGACTGGCCTCTGTGTCCCCAGAAGACTCAGCAGAGTTGCTGCTTGTTAATAGATTTAGGGAAATCAAAACCACAGTGAGATACCACTTCTTACCCACTAGGATGACTACAATAAAAAGAAAACTAATAGCAAGTGTTGATGAAATGTGGAGAAATTGGAACCCTTGAGCATTGCTGGTGGGGTTGTAAAATGGTGCAGCCATTTTGGAAAACAGTCTGGCAGTTCCTCAAGAAGTTAAACATAGAGGACCATGGTCTCAGGGAACATCTAGCTCAATTGGCATAACACAGTTTATTAAGACAATGTTCTACATTCTACCTTGGTGAGTAGCGTCTGGGGTCTTAAAAGCCTGTGAGCAGCCATCTAAGATACTTCACTGGTCTCACCCCTTCGGGAGCAAGGGAGAATGAAGAGAACAGGATACAAGGAAAAGATTAGTCCAGAGGACTAATGGACCACAACTACCACAGCCTCCACCAGACTGAGTCCAGTACAACTAGATGGTGCCCGGCTACCACCACTGACTGCTCTGACTGGGATGACAGCAGAGGGTCCTGGACAGAGCAGGAGAAAAATGTAGAACAAAATTCTAACTCACAAAAAACGACCAGACTTACTGGCCTGACAGAGACTGGAGAAACCTTGAGAGTATGGACTCCGGACACCCTTTTAGCTCAGTAATGAAGTCACTCCCGAGGTTCACCCTTCAGCCAAAGATTAGACAGCCCCATAAAACAAAATGAGACTAACGGGGCACAACAGCCCAAGGACAAGGACTAGAAGGCAGGAGGGGACAGGAAAGCTGGTGATAGGGAACCCAAGGTTGAGAAGGGAGAGTGTTGACATGTCGTGGGATTGTTAACCATTGCCATAAAACAATATGTGTACTAACTGTTTAATGAAAAACCATTTGTTCTGTAAATCTTCATCTAAAGTGCAATAAAAAAAAATTAAATAAAAAAAGTTAAACACAGAGTTCCCATAAACCAGTTGTCATCCTGCCAATTCCAGCTCTATGTATGTCAGAGTAGAACTGTGCT